AGACCCCAAGTTCAACAATGTTGGATTAGTCGCCGATGCTGTGTCAAACATGCAGTGGGTTGCGCGGAGTTTTGCCTTCAAGGAAGATGATCCCCCGGCAGACGACATTCTCGCGGCCCGACTGCGGGCCAAATATTGGGGCGCACAAGTCATCACATACCGGCCCTTCATTCGACAGATTCTACAGTGGTCAGAGAAAATGCAAAAGCATCCCTCAAGTCCGAACCTGCAGCCTGTATCGGAATTCCGACAAGGCATCGCGGCGCCGGTCATCGATCCGTCAGCGAAGTCTCGCAAAGATATTCAACCAATGGTGATCGAATATGCGAAGCGAGGCATCAAAGCGTTGATTGAGAGCACGCGGGCATTTCACGGTTTGGGATCGGAACGACCAATCATTACTAATGTCTTTGGAACTGCACATGCGTAAGTTTATGATGTCACGGAAGCAGAGACGGTTGCTAACGAGTTGTCTTTCTTTAGTCAATGGGGAAATCTCTTGGTTCTGTCGGCATGTTTTAGAGACGAGGTGCTCTCCTCAGAGATTGATGCAAGTCTTCTCATGACGCTGTTTTCCAAAACCATTCACTTTTTAAAACAGTCCAGTACAGCGACGGGTTCTCTCAAAACAGACATGCACATACTGGAAGGCATCCAGCGAGATTTGTTTCCCCCGGGAGTCGATACGAAGATGACGAGAAGCTTCTCAAGCAGTACCAATTTACAGACGCCAAAACTTCCCATGGCAGCTCCACCGCCCATGTCCAACCCCAATTAATATATCGGGACATGTTGTTCTCGGTATTGGTGCAAAACGCGAATTGACTTGCAGGTCTTCAACTCTCTTGGTTATATTTCATGCAGCAAGACGACCCAACCGGCCAATTCTGTCGATTCGATCCTTGTCTTTCATAATGGGTGAGGTGCGGGGCGGTATAAGATATTTTCCCCTATATCTGGCGAGCCACTTGGCGAGGATACCTGGCTTAAGAGGTTACAATCTAGCGGCGTACTACAGAATGGATGGGTTCTACAAAATCGAAGTGCAAACTCAACGACGTGGAACACGACATATAACCCATGCGGTATGACGGGCATGTTTCAGCGACTGATGGTCATGCGAATGCTGTCGAGCACCGGTATGAATTGGGGAGACCTATATGATTTTCCTTCTTCTTCAGCTCTATAAAACTTGCATAAAGGCTTTGCTTTTCTTCTTCTTTTTTTTTCGGCAACCATGGGCGTGCATTTCTGGCGAATACTCGGTCGGCTCACATTTTCATTTCAATATTTGTTGTCATTTTTTTTAACTTTTTTTTATTCAAGTCTATTGGCTATTTTGTTTTTTTTGCTCGCAATCTTACTGCCATTTCCTTTTATGGTAGGAATAGCTTGTGTATACCCCAGGCTGGACGTGGAGGAGATACCAAGACGGGACCTGTTTCCGACATGAAGCAGGGCAGGTGGATAGGCGCATGGAGGAGGAGGATCATTACATTTTTGGAAAGATTGGAGGAAGGTCTGGGCGAGTGGCGGCGATTAGGGATCCAGGTCGAGATGGAGATGGAGACACTACTAGAAGGATACTTTGGGCGTGTGCGAGTTGCAGGCGACAAGCAATGAAGACAAGTTTTCGACCATGTACGGGAGTACTATAGTCTGTGCTACGTACGTTTTTGGCCGCGGTGACACGCCACCAATCTCCTGGACACGTACATAAGTTTTGTTTGATGAATGTGTTGGCAAGGCAAGGCTAGGCCAGGTCAGCCAGCCACGCATTCGTGCGTGCCTTGGCTGCTGGATCCTTTCTGGGGCTAGTAGGTAGTATTTGCGAAGTGTCAAACATTCTGAATAAGAGGGCGGCCAAGACTAGGTGTCAAGACAAGTGTCCACAAAATGCCACACCGAGCAAGGCGTTGGAGATGATGGCACACGGTCGGTCGACCATCGATCATGATATGATGATGGACCCGTGTTGCCGTGAACTCTCCACCCTTGCACGACGGGTAGAGAGTACTCCTTACTCGGCGCTCCATTCATCACGATCTAGGTCGGGCCGCGGCGACGGTGTACATAGAAGATCGGCCATCCAGCCGGCGGCAGGGGTTGTCTTGTCTCGTTGTTTTTGTCTCTCTTGGTTTTATACGGAGTACTACCAAGGACGCACAAGCAAAACCAGAGACTTTGTGGCCGAGCAGCCGCTTCCTTTTTCCGCATACGGCGTATGTATGTACTTTCTACGGAGTAGCAAACGCGGCACGGCACAGGCCAGGGCCATGCATGCCGCTGGCACCCTTGCTATTCCAGCCCCATGCCAGATGCCAGGTACCGAAAGAGAGTCAGTCTGGTTGTCACGCGAGCAGCTGGACGGAAGAACCATGCGAATGGCACTCCGTATTCGGTATGTAGCTCCCGTACGGAGTAGGGCGATCGGGCAACAGGGGGGGGCAACCTTGTCCCTTTTTTTGTTTATTTCATTTTATTGGATTCTCAAGACAAGATCGGTTTGGTCATACATCGATAGGGGTTCGCGAGGGCCTGGGTTGCGGGCGGCTTGGACGGAGCGGGCGTTGGGACACGGGGGGTGTGTGCTCGACGAGGGCTTGCCGGGCTGGGGACTTGATGGACGGAGTACGTAGGCTCGGCGGAAGAGGCGCGGGTGGCTTTCTTGCCGTGACTGGGCTGGGAGATTTTCTTTTGTGCGAAACCTGACATGTTGGGGTGGAGCTCTGGGGATTTACTCCGTGGAGGGAAGGGAAGGGAAGGGAAGGGGGTGGTAAATCCGGGGCCGATGAGCATGGGGAATTGGAACGTATCATGGGAGAAAGGAGGCGGAGGATGGAGAAGATGGAACTTTCCATGACGGGCAAGGACGCTGGCGGATGTCGTGTAACGACGTGGACGGTGGCCATGGTTTGTTTTGGGCAGTCCTGGACTCCTGGGGCCCGAGTGCAGTTGCGATTGGGCTGACGGGCACGGAAGTGTAGATTACATACTAGTTGAATTGCTGCATGGCTTGGCGTCCGATGCGGGATGGCGTGATGTAGTACTTGTTTTTTTGAAACATGATGGCGATGAGATTGCAGGTGTTGTTGGACCGGTGAGAGTGGCGATGAAGGGGACTGAGATGACTTGGGCCAACTGGTGAGAATGACGGCGGTGTGCCGTGTATCAGTTCATCACGGTTGCCTGCATGTCATGCGATTACGGATGACAGAGACGGGCAGGCGTCTGGGACGTCTTTTGCTGGACATGGTAGTATATACGCCGCGGAGACGTCGATGAAGTCGTCGAGAGGAACATGAAGTTTCGGTCCTAGGTGCTTCCTTCGTACGGGTCGAGGCGCACCGTGCCTTCAAGTTGGAAGGACAAGACACGTCTGGTATTTATGTGGTTGGGGAAGTAAATGCACATATATATATATATATATGCATATATAACGAACGTGAACTTGGGCCATCTCTGCAAGGCTGACTGACTACATCTCCATTGTTACTACAACGTCTGCCTGGGCACCACCAGCCTGTCCAGTTTGTGTATTTCCATACCAAGTTCATGGTGAAGAGCCCTTGACGCAAGCATATCCATGGACTGCTTCTGTCGGATACGTTGGTGCCCCGGCTAGGTCTTGTTATCAATCCAAGCTTCTGTACGTGTTGGAGTCGAGTTGATGCCTACTCTTCCATGACAGGGTGTCCATCGGAGAGTTGCAACCCTAAACCAGCTCCTTGATGGAGAGCGGTTCTGCAAAACGTGTTCGGTGGCTGAGGCCTACATGTCGACAAGGAGAGGAAGCGGAAGTGACGTCGAATGGATCCTCGCCGATGAAGCAAACGTCCATGTCCAGTCGGCTTGTAGTTATGTAAGTAGCACTTGAGTAGGCACGTGCCACACAGCCAGCGTTCATCCGCTGCCATCTGGAATGAATGATCCGACCACGGCCGTTCCCTCAACTCGACTGCGCTCTGCTGGTTGCTCTTGAGTCTTGAATCTTGACAGGCTTGCCGGCTATCATTCATTGCAAATGGACCAAACACTCGAAGACAATGTCACCAATAGGATTGGTACCAGGTAGCAATCGATGACTGGTGAAGGGGCATTACAGAAGAAGCCGTTGGAGCAATCTTGCTCACGGACTCTTCTTCTACATTGCCTCTGGGTTTGAAGGGTCATGCATCTCTCCCTGTCCTTGTGTGGGCATAGCTCTGGCTCTGAATATGCATCTTCTACTACCGACAGCATATCGGCGTCGACAACATGCTACCCTGGATAACGAAATATAATGCCAGAAAACACGCACTGAACATGGTTCGCAACAAGGTCTCCCTCGCCCAGCGTATCATTTGAACCAGACGGTAAGAATCACCTCCGGGGATGCGTATAGTATAGCTGATTGCGTAACAAAGACCGAAACAAGCCGACTCAGAGTTCATATTCCAGGCGGGCGACTGGCCATATATGCATGTTCTGGGAGTGTAGGTTATCTAATTACATTAGACGCCATGGCTTACCAGCACCTGGAGTCTGATGTTTCCGAGACGGGACAGCTTGACAACTATGCAACGGGGTTGCAAAGACGGTCCAACTGATGTCGTGGTAGCCAGGCAACACCAGGAACGTTGAATGCTAGCTGACTGGTTTCTGGTCTGAGCTGCATGTGCCGGGTCCGTCTTTGGGTGTCGAGCCGCAGACATTTTCACGTATTATGCTAGACAGGGCTGTGAATTTGTTTGCCACAGGCGAGGACTACCAGTCAAGATGTTTACTAAAGTAGACTTTGAATGAAGCCGGGGTGGAAAGAGCCGCCTCCAGAAGCATGTTTATCAGCATGGGATACAATCCACGAAAGATTCAAGCGCAGTAGAAAGGAAGAGATATATTGACAAGGCAGCATGGCCTTGCCTCAAGTACCTAGATAAGCAGAACCCCCAACGCCTCTGCAATGCCAAAGCAAAACATCTTCATCTTCTTTTTTTGTCCCCAATCCCAGTCCCGAAATGTTACATGGCTCCCATCATCAAGCTCTCTAGCATACCGCCCGTCTGGCAGGCAACCTGCGCCCTCTGAACTTCACTCCTGACCCGTCTATGAAGCGTTCTAAAGCCCTCATGCAGCTCCGCCGATCCGCCGACATACTCGGCATACATATCAATCAGATGCAGTCCCACCTCGACGCAGACACTGACATACCGGGGGTCGCATATATGCCCGCACACCCACTTCAGCACAGGTTCAACCCTCTGCTCGTCCCTGTTCTCGAGCGCGTCTCGAACAGCACTTCGGTGCCGCAGCGCCAACAGCAGAGTCAGCACGTTGAGGGACGTGTGGTCCGGCGACTTGCGGTCGAGCACCTGGTCCAGCGCACGAGCATACCGCGCATGCCGGAGATCCTTCTGCCAGGGACGCTCCTTTTTCCGACTCGCCCGCGGCTCATTGGCGATGACGACGTCGGCGCCCTCCCCCACCATGTCCAGCTTGTTGGCCGCCTCGATTCTCCGCTTGCGCTTCGACTTTTTCGCATCATGCGAGGCAATCGTGCCCGCGACGAGGGCGGACATCTCCCTGTCTCGCTCGCGTTCGCGGCTCGCCTCCGCGCCAGTCAGACGCGTCTTGACGCTCAGCACGCCAGACTGCATGCCCACCGCCAAGTGGCGATCGCTGGCGTCGCCCCCGTCCCCGGAGGGGATCACCTGCAGAGACAGCACGGGCGACTGGTACTTGACGCTGTTGACGACATTCCACCCCGTCATCTCAAAGACCTTGACGTGGCCCTCCAAACCACCCGTCACCAGCCGCCGGCCATTGGACGCGAGGCTCAACGAAGTAACCGTCTTTTGATGGTTGCTAATCATGTGAAGTGGTCTGGCGGCAACCAGGTCCAGGACACAAACTGAGTTTCCCGCCGCGGCGACAACACTCGTCCCCGACGGCAGGGGCAGCACGTCCTCAATGGGGGCGGCGTGCTTGAACGTCATGACAGCCGAGCCGCTTCCCGTCCTGGGATCCCACAACTTCACCGTGGAGTCGTAACTCCCCGACACGACCATGCTAGACATGGTCCCGGGCATAAAGTTTGCGCACCGCACGTAGTCGCTGTGCCCGACAAACGTCGCCGTCGCCTCGTTGCTGGGCAGGTCCCAGAGCCGCACCGTCCTGTCGTCGCTGGCACTGACAAGTGTCGTCAATTCTGTGGGCGAGAACTTGGTCGTCCAGACAGGCTGCTTGTGTTCGGTCCACGTCTTGAGGATCGCTCGCGAGTTGACGTCAAAAACTTGCATCTTGCCCGTGTCGTCGCCAGCAACAAGCACCTTGCCATCCTTACGGATGTCTCCGCTTCTGGCGACATCGCCGAACCGTGTAATGGTCTTGAGAAGTTTGCGTGTGCGATTGGAATAGATTTGGACGCGGGTGCCCGTCGTGACTACGAAGGAGTCGCTGTTGTAGGAGATGTTGGTGACGGGGTAGCTCGTGGGCGACGGGATGAGCAGCTGGTTTTTAAACGTTTTCCAGTACCGCCTCTCGGCCGTTACTGGAGATGGCCCAGACGGCAGTTTGAGCTTTGGGAGAGGTCCCACCTGAGCTGCTGCCATATTCGTTGTCTTGCGATTTTATGGCGATGTGTGAAAATTGTCTGTGAGATCGCTTGCCATGCCAGTGTGTTTGGTAGCCATGATTTTTTTTTTTCTGCCGCTTCGAGATTCAATGCGGTCAGACAAAGCGGAAACGCCCCGCGTGGCAGCCTTCCCATAATGGGACTAGTGCGCCCCCCAACCTCTTGTCCCCGTTAGCTCACGTACTCCGCACTGTATACCAAAGAGCTTTTATACGCCGAGGATTCGATTGCCAGAATGAACATGTATCAAGTGGGAGCTTGACAGCGAGAATAAACACACTCAAGAATACGATCGATTTGATGTAGTCCTATAATGCTTACTACACCCGGATATGTGCTTGGGCGCATCTCAAAAACGCCGATTTGTTCTCCCAACATGCAAAACTATATACAATACTCATCTTTATATTCAAACAAATCCATAGTCAGGCTCTTAATACCCGCCCCGTCTCCTAGATCGTCCAGCGCCAATGTCAATTCGTTGCATTTCCTCCACGAGTGCCAGTTCCCCTCCGCCATTAGCACCGCTCATGATGGGCAAAGGAATCTTCGCAGGAAGCGGTGGTCCTGACCCATAATGCGGTGGCGCATGGTTCTCATTAGGGTAGTCATACGGACCCCCAGGATGGGCTCCGCGCGTGGGAGTATACTGGACTTGACGCCCCTGATAGTTATCAGGAGAAATTGGAGCTAGCGGGCTTGATGCAGAGGGGGGGAGGCTGTTATGACCAGCAGACGCCCGAGCCTTCTTCTGAAGGCGATTACGGCCACCAGTTGGAGGAGTACGTGGGTCGTCCGCTTGGCTATACGAGGGCGGAAGTGGTTGTTGCTGCTGCTGCTGCTGCTGCGTTATTACAGAATCTGGACGGGCAGCAATGCGAAGAGTCCTTCGTCCGCTCGGGGGCATTGGTTGCGCCCCTGATGGTGACGGCCTGGCACGAGGTTCGGGCGATGTCTGCTTCCCCCTGGGCTCTGGCTCTGGCGCCCACGTCTCCATGGGAAGATGATCAGAAGGATCAATCTCTCGGCCATCATGAGTGATGATCTTGGCATTTGGGTCCACCCGCCCTACGCGAGAGTCGGCAGCTCCAGGAGAGCCCATGGCGGGGTTAAATGCGTCGTAGGAGTCCGGTCCGAAAGGAACGTCAGACTGCCTTCTATTCTCTGATGGGGGCGGTGCCGGGCTGACGGATTTGCGGCGAATGGTGTGCTCTGGGTTAGGATTTGGACTTGGGGAGTTTCGTGATTTAGTTGCCAGTGGTTCAGGTCGGCTGCTGTAAGTCACCATGGCGCGCCCGTCGTGAGACTGAGGCGTGTATGAGTGTGGAGAGGTGGTGTAGGATGGCGGCCCTTCACTTCGATGACGGCCTCGTGGTGGAGTCGCGGTTGGTTGTGTATACCGACTCTCATACCGGCGGTCCTCATAGCCCCGGTCCTCGTATCTCCGGTCAGCAAACTCCTGTGATAGTGCCAGGTCAACTCCAGGAGACAGAGACGGAGGAACTGTAGGTGTGCCATAGCTGGGTGGGTTTCGAATGTGTACAAGGTCGAAATCGCTATGCCTGCCGGGTCGCTGTTGGTGACTGGACTGTGACACCTGTGACACTTGAGACAAAGTATTCGAGTAGTCCTGAACAGACAGGGGTGAAGCTGCAGTAGGGTATGCGCCATAGTCCTGAAGACGATCTCTAGGGGCTGTGTGCACAAGAGATTCAATCGCGCTTTGAGGCATTTGGCTGGCAGGAGTGTCCAGCGCCATTTCACTCTGGTACACCGCTGCCCGAGAGCTGTGTCTGTTGGACACGGAGGGCGAGTCCGGAACATCTTCAACGGTGGGCTGCATGGATCTGTGCTGAGGGCTATAGCCAGGGCTTTGTGACTGGTATCGCGACGAGGGCGATTCATAGGGCGAATCGTTTCGGGACGCGATAGGAATTGGAGCCGATGATGTTGGATCATAGGGTTTGAATATAGGTTGCCCGGGATATGCCGCTATTGAGTGTCTGTGAGCCTCGCTCCTAAGAACATCCTTTCTCATCGGCACCGGAGATTTTTGCGGCGAAACGTCGTACGAGCCGCGATGCGAGACTTCTGGCCCTACGCTGTTTTGCCTGGATCGATGGGCCGGAGGCGGTGGGGGTGCTTCGTCCTCAAAGGGCGGTTGTGAGCCTATTTCTGGGGGCAACTCGTGGAGCTCAGTAAACGAACCCTGGGCGGAACGAGAATCTGGCTGGTCGTAGGGAGATGGTTGAGCCCGCTGCGAAAAGCCACGATCGTCTTGGTATCGTGCCGTAGTACCATATGACTCTCTCGAGCGATGGGCATGGCGGTGGGCTGAATGCGGTGAAGGTGTATAGTACTCGGGTTGCTGTCTGACGCCTTGGGGGTGAGGGGGTGTGCTGTACTCGACAGACTGAAGGGGTGACTGGTTGGGAACAAAGCCAGAATGTGAGGCAGATTTGCTGTGTGACCGAGGGGCAGCGTGATGCTGGTGGATTTCCGGCTGTGAGGTAACTGCAGCTGGGGGAGTGACGGGTGCCTCTCCTGTGACGGGGTCTGACGGCAAAGGTCGCCTCTTGACGGGAGTTCTTGGCTTGGCTGAGCCGGTGGCATCTTGCTCGGTGGCAGTCTGCTGCCTTTGCTTGGCTGCGGGTTTCTCGGGACGTGGCCTGGTATCGTAGAATGTGATTTCAACTCTGATTTCGCCAGCGTATTTGCCTCTGCAAGTCAAGCCTTGCCACATGTCGTTCTGGCCGCCTCCCGGAACAATAATACCCTTCAAGTCAATCCACGACTCTCCAATCAGATCGGTCTTCTTGTCGTCGGTAAAAACAGATATCTTGAGCTGGTAGTAGTCTGGCGAGTCGTGGACGGTAAATCGAAGCTCTTGGTCCCTACATGGTCATGGTCAGCCTGTGCGAAGGGGCGAACTGCAAGTGTGCTCTGAAGGCACGCCAAGTACATACCACTTGGGGGTTTGGCCTCCTCGAATATCTGTCGTCGTCTTCTTGGCCTCCTTCCCTAGCCTCGCAGCACAGTAAGGGTCCTGCTTGCCAATCGTCTTTCTGTTGGGCAAGTTCTTGGCCCTGTCGACAATGGCCACCAGAGTGCCGATTATGGGCCCGTCAACCGACATGTCGGCAAAGATGCCAGCCGTGTGGGCGCCATTGAGGGCATATGACTTGGTCTTGGTGGCCATTTCCGCAGACGTGATTGCGTCTGTCGTCGGAGAGCTCGAGGTGTTCCAACCGGGAGCTCCAGATTCAGTGCCGCCCTGTGGTGGTAAGCCGGCGAGACGATGGCGCTTCGGCTTGTTTACGTCGGCATCTGCCGGGTTGGGTCAATTTGAAAGGAGCGGCGGGGACAAGAGAGCAAAGGCCCAGCAATGGTGCAGGAAGAGTCAAATCATGTATAGAGAAGGGACACAAGGAATGCTGTCCGTGTCGGAAACGGGGAGCACAATGTCCTGATGCAAAGACAAAGGACAATGGCATGCAAGAAGGGAAAAAGGGAAGAGAAGGCGTTGTGCTGAGCAGGCGATGAGCTAAGAATGAGAGGCGCGAGGCGCCCTGTTATGCTTCAGCTCACAAGCGATTCGTCGACGGCCAAGTTTCAAAGCAGCTGCGAGCTGCGAGCTGCAAGCTGGGTGCCGGGCGCAGGGTGCAGGGTATGAGAAGCTTCAATCAATGCTGAGTGGTTGGGCGGCCGGATGCGGCGCTGCGGTGCGCGGGCTCTGGTGGACCAAGCACGGTTGAAGCCCCCCTGCAAGCCTGAACATCAGCACACTGAACCGGGTGGCATAGTACTGTAGTGGGGCCCGGGTGGCTGGGCGGTTCACTGTGTTCAAAACCCGGTGGCTGGAGACTGGGTTCAATTCAAGGCTCCAGTCCAGCCCAGTTCAATACGGAGTACATATTGACTCCATACCAGCAAACACAATGTCAAGTGCCGCTCGACGGGCAAGAGAGAAAAACGCCAGACGCAGTTCAAGTTTCTCAAGTTGGCCCTGCACAGCTCCTTGGTCTCCCCTGTCTCGTGCGTCCTCCGGTGCGTACAGGTTCCTGACCAAAGTTTACTAAACGCTCGCTGCAGTGGGCATTCGACAACTTTGGGAGGTTTGAAATTGGCCCATTCAGGAATAGACCATCGATCGTTGTGCCCCACCAAGCGCAGCGGAGTTGCAAGATCCAGGGCGAATATGCAAGGTTAACGTGATTGAATTGCACTTCCCCCAGCAACCACGCCAAAAGGCCATTGCTCGAGACAAAACAACAATCAGTACAATCGGTCCCTCGATCGACGCCAATCGGCCCAGCGAGACGAGTCCAACTTCCTTTGCCCCCTCCCCATCTTGCGGCTGCACCGAGGATCGACAGCCATTTACTCCTGCAGCGCCTCCATGGCTAGCGTGGACGCTGACGTCGCCCTCGCACCGTTATGCACAACATGGGCCGTCTTGCCCCCAACACACCAATCAGGCTTCGTGATGCTCGTTGGTTTGCGCAGGAGCTTGCGCCGACAGATGTCAATTGATAAAAATAAACAAAAAGAGGTTGCGGAGAACTGCCACCAGGGTTCCCGCCTTGCGCGTGCCGGAACGTGGTGATGATGCCCAGGTGGGCCGTTCTCAAGTTTCATAAATGAGCATTTCAGCAGAACATGCTTCACGGCAGCACCTCGAGATTTCCACCATGAACGCATTATACCCATGGAAACCTTAACGGCAAACCTTGCTTGGGTGGCCAGGCACCAGGGTCAAAGGGCTCATGAGACACTGTACGGAGCACAATAGTACTGCGTACCCGTTTGCGTCGCCATGGCCACGGTGTCTCACTGGTCGCGCTAGTAAATAGTAGTCAGTTACTATTTCCCATCTCCCTTTGTCCGGCATGTCAGGCAGGTTGTTGGATGGAAACGGCTTCCAGAAGCTTTCTCTGAGCGCTTGCTCCATGTGTCTAGAAGTAGTAATACTAGCACCAGGGTTTGTTCACCCCCTGGACCGGGGGAGGGTCAAGGTGACAACATCAGTGTCCACGACGATGCCGACAAAGTATCACGCCAAGCATTCATTTATCCTCTTTTGCTACCAGTCACAACTCCTGCCCAGCAGATCCGCCAAGTCCTCGAGATATTTCCTATCCAAATCATCAAATCCATTCTCAATCGTGCAATCAACGTCAATAATAGCCACCACCTTTTTCACCCCACTGCCCCCGGCGCTGGCAAGAATCGGCACCACAATCTCGCTCTTGCTGTCACCGTCGCAGGCAATGTGGCCTGGGAACTTGTCCACGTCGGCTACCAGCTGCGTCTTCTGCGTAGTTGCAGCGGCACCGCAGACTCCACGGCCAAATTCGATTGTCTGGCAGGCAACTTTCCCCTGGAAGGGTCCGAGGATGAGTCGAGGTTTCGTAGACGAGGGGTCAAGAACGTAGAAGCCTGCATCCAGTGTTATGAATGCCTCATTTCTATATTTGGATACGTCTCCTCAGAGGGACTTGGACTTCATACCCGCCCAGTTTACTTCCTTGCTTGGAGAAGGAAGGGACCTGTAGGCGTGCCACAGCAATGACGCGGCGTTGGCGAGATTGCTGCCAAGGTCAGAGATCTGCACGTCGACACAAAAGCTGTTTACACAGTCATCTTACCAAACCTGGTATCAAATAAGTAAGTATTTAGTCAATCAGACCACACGTTGGAGGTATGGTGTAGGCATCTCACCCAGTTGCGCTGGTCTATAAACAAGCCCTCGGCCTGCATCAAAACCTGTTCATAGGCATCATCTTTGGTGACGCCATGTGCAAAATTGGACGCATCAGCGTGAACCTACATATATTAGTGTAAGGGCAGAGCGCACGAGCCATGGCGATGATGGTACCATTTTGACGATTTTTGATTGTTGAATTTTCCAGGATTTTTCGATGCATCAGATCTAAGATCAGTTGCTTATGAAATTCGGGTAAAATTATATGTACGGCCATCGATGTCGTGATTTTTGAATGTGGGTATACTTTCTTTAACAGACGCCAAGATTAGTCACCGAAATGGACATGGGTTGGCCCACGCCAGGTGCCATTCACATGTGTGGGACAAGTAACTATCAGACACTTATCCGTTCCAGATTACACGCTCTGAAGGCATATTATGGAGTTGCTTGAATTTCTGTCTCGAAACTTTTATTTCTTATATATATGTAAAGTACTTTAGACGTGGTTTACTATTTATGAGTTAGGCTGGAGTATTTCTTGCCTAAATATCTATGGTGCGGAATACACAATGCTCAGAGTTGCCTTGCAACAGGCCGGGCCTATCTCGCCGCAAATAACACACAATAATCACACAGGTCATGAAAGCGTAAAAATATAGTAGTAATAGAGATGCCATACAGCGCTAGCACATCATGGGGAAAATCATCGGCGCCTGATCCTCCCAGGACAATTGGAGCCACTCCCGGCCAGTGGATCCAGCTGACCAATGAACACGTTGACCACCCACACGACATCGAAGCTCAAGTCATCATCGTCACCGTCTACTTTTTTTCAAGCCAACATCACGAACCCAACAAAACTACTGCCATGAGTGCGCAAATTCCTTGGCGGCGCTGCACCCACCGCAGGACCTGCATCACCATCTCCAGGCCTATGATTTTACAACCCCACGGCTCCTATGCATTCTTTCCTGCTCACCAATGGCGTGCGGCGCACAACCAGGTATCTCCTCGCCGTGAAGCTCGACCTCCGAAGAGCCCGCTACTCAACCCTCCAGCGTCGACTCGGCCGCCGCCACTAGACGTTCCGCAGCGGAGCGCCTCCAATTCTACATTGCAGTATCTCTTCCAGCTAGGAAAGGGCTATTTGAAATTTTACAAAGATGGATTAAAGGCTGTCATGGCGAACCGCAGGCTGCTTAAGGAGAAGCTTGAGAGGACACCAGCAGACGACCGCCCGTCAGTATTCAAGCCTCACTACGTCCCCAAGACCTTCTCCCGCGCGGATTGGGTCATGTTGTGGCGCGTGCGGCACGATATGCTGCGGCTGCCGCTCTTTGGACTCATGCTGCTTGTCATTGGGGAATTCACCGCCCTGGCAGTCATCTACGTCGACGGCGTGGTGCCGTACACATGCCGCATTCCAAAACAGCTGTACTCGGGCCTGCAAAAGGCCGAGGGCCGGCGCAGGGCTGCCTTTGACGAACTCGAGGCGCAATACCCCCACGGCGTACTGAGCCCCCGGATCAGCGCGCCCGTCGCCAGAAAACACGTCCTCAGGAGCTTGCATCTCTCGGGCATGATGTGGGATCGACTGGGCTTCACGCCCCCGGGGATGTGGCAGATCAAGGGCAGACTACGAATGGCATTCCTCGAAGGCGACGACAAGAACCTGATAGAGGACGGGGGCCCGGTGGGGTTGGAGACGGAGGAGCTGAGAATTGCATGTGCAGAGCGAGGGATAGACGTCCTGGGCAAGAGTGAGACGGAGCTGAGAAGCTGGCTGGGGGATTGGTTGAGGTTGACGGCGGCAGAGGACATATCTGAGCGGCGGAGACGCATGGCCACGTTGTTGTTGACGAGGTGAGTTTTTTTCCAAGGCCAACGGTCCTTTGAGATGGGAAAGGTTATACTATTGCGCCGAGTAACCGGGGCGGGATTCGGAAAGCGCTTGAGAGCTGACTCTTTGCAAAACAATATAGGCCGGAGCATTGGCCCCAGCAACGGGACTTTGCCGTTCCTGATTGGGAATTATAAGGGGTGGGATGTGCGGTGGTGGTGTACAAGTAGGATATTGAATCTTGATGGACGGAGGGATTGGCAGATGAGGCGCATCAACAAAGTTGGCACTGCATAGACAAAAAAGGAGCATTCTGGTCTCGCATCTCTGTTGTACAATATAAGCATAGTCTGCACCAGCTTTTGGGGAATTCGGAGCATCAAGGCTTTGGGCAGTTGATAGAAGCATGTAAACTACAGCATGGGGGAATAACACGTTGGCATAACGTCAAGGGCACGTGAGAATGTCTGGTACTGATGCACATGGTGTCGCCAAAGGTCGAATCGATGTCCTAATCGAGTCCGAAACCCGGTGTGGTGCGCACAGCGCCGATCTGAGCACGCACTGCCGAGAAGTCTCTCCCAATGTCCAGATATCTCGGTGGAAATGTCGTGCTTTGCCCGGAATTACATACCAGACAGTACACTCAACGTGCCTTCGGTATAACTTGACGCTCCGTTCGGGGAGCGGATAGCTAGCCCGCCCACCGCGCCTCCCCTAACGTCTCGACTCCGAACGGACATGGAGGCAGGTGCGGCAAACACACTTGACCCAAGGTACCCCGAACCCACTGTCAAGCAAGCCCCCAAGGGGTCAGAGACAAAAGCTGCGGGGAGGGACTGGACTCAGGGTGATAGCCGAGGGCCAGTAGTACTTGGTGCGGGGAGGACATGGGGAGAGCGGACACGCTTACGGAGTGCATGGCCTCGCTGTCCCAAGAGTTCTCATGAAATAGTCATCGCCGTGCCCATTGTCAAGGAGGAAAAAACGGAGATGGGCAAACCCCTAATACGGACACGGTCGCGACTTTTACTCTGGAGCAGTGGAGCTCGGCTGCTTTGGCCGCAGCTCTCCAGCAACGGCACATGATGTCAGGCCGAGGTTCCCATCACATGCCCATGGCGCTTCGCATTTGCTGCCCTCTCACCCCCAACCAGCCACTAACCGAAAATATGAACAGAGGGAAAGGCATTTAAACTTGAGATCCCACTTTGCCTCCGCATTCCTCCTTTCCGGAAAGCTTCAACTTTGCATTTACGAAAATCCCGTCGTGCAATCTTCATCTCGCCCTCTTTTTCTCCCTCTCAGTTTCAATCAGCTTCAATAGCCATCATCCAAAATGGGTTTCGCTAACGGTGCGTATTTCCACACACGCCCCCTTTCCGCAATCTTGTCGTCCCCACGAGACCATGTCGCGCCCCCCCGGGAATTTCACATGCCGCCAGCTGCGTGGCATGTTGGCAACGGACGGGGGATCCGGGACGGGGGCAATCAGCGACTGATGCGGGAAACGGGGCAAGGCAACGCAGAAGAATCAAGAAACAAGCCTTACTAACGAGCCGGCCTCAATCTCTAGCCAAGTTCCCTGCCTCGGCCGCTTTCGACGCCATCGACAGCGTCCTCTCCGCCTCCGACGCCGAGCGCAAGGACGCCATCAAGCAGGCCAACGGTGTCTTTGCCTTCACCCTCAAGAACAAGGCTGGCGAGACGGAGAGCTGGCACGTCGACCTCAAGGAGTCCGGCCGTGTTGGCACCGGTGTCGGCAAGCCCACTGGTATGTTTTTGCCAAACCCCCTCTTTTGACCTACAAAAATCTACCATGGTGCCGTCTTGTCTCGGGCCCGATGCACAGATGGGATTGGTAGAGGAGAATGGAGGAACGAATGGAAGCTGACTCGTTGCAAAAGTTACCCTGCTCCTCTCCGAGGAAGACTTTGGCAAGCTCGTCGATGGCTCTGCCAACCCCCAGCGTCTGTTCATGTCCGGCAAGCTCAAGATCAAGGGCGACATCATGAAGGCCACCAAGCTCGACCCCATCATGAAGAAGGCCAAGTCCAAGGCTAACCTGTAAATACACTCATTCACGGGGGATACCAAGGGTTAGGTTCACGGAAGAGGTGGACACCGGGCGGATGTGTCCGAGGATTGGATGTAGAATTTCAAGGGGAGGCTATATTCTGTAACAATAAAACGACGGGATTAGTTCACCGTTCGCATCGCGTGCGTTACGCATAGACGAAATACCAAAAATATCATTGTTGAAGCTGCGGGTTTTCATCCCGTGTGTTGTAGTGCCTATCATGGGTGTGGCGGTCGTTTAAACCTACACCAATGTAAGCGTCATCGCCCATTGTGGAATCTATAAACCCCCCCTCCCCCCTTTTTTTCTTCTACTCGCCAATCGTTGCCTTGGGCGCCCTCACGGGCTCGTTTTCAGTAACATGATGGAACATTGAAGCTCGGTGCTTTTTTTGTTCACTGCAGTTAGTTCATGTTCCATTTCGACGTCGAGTTTCCAAGTGCCGACGACAAATCGGGCGTCTTGCTGCTCGGATATATGTGGAGTTTGCCGCGTCACCAGGGATTGAACGGAGAGCCAAGCATGCAGAATATGTACATATTTACAAGAACAAGCTTTTTCTTTCATGTTGTCATTTGAGATAACTACACGCTGGCGAGACGGCGGGGTCCACATGCAGAAACAATCTTGGCTTTTGTTTGATCTCAATCACAAAAGTATCCTTGTCGTATGCCGTCCATACCGCGTAGTATTCATTCAATATATACGTCTTAAAAGTCAAAAGGCCTCAATCTAAAATCGCATCACAATTGCAGGGGGCTTATTGTTCAAAACTTCGTCAATCTCATCCATAATCTCCGGTGTCAGCTTATCCACGGCTGCCACGGCCTTGCAATTCTCATACACCTGCTCCGGCCGACTGGCACCTGTGATGGCGGTACTAACATTCGGGTTCTTGAGAACCCACGCCAAAGCCAACGTGCTCATCTTGATGCCCAGCTTGTCTGCAATGGGCTGCAGCTTGTTGACCTGCTCGATGATGCCGTTCCAAGTATCCTTTGTCGTGCGGCCCCAGAAGCCTTTGATAAACTCGACGCTGGTCTGGTTGAAGCGCGAATCCTCGGGAATACCGTCCTTGTACTTGCCGGACAGAATACCCTGGCGCATGGGGGACCAGACAGTCAGGCCTAGACCGCCATTCTCGCGGTACAGGTGGGCGAATTCCGTCTCGACCTTTTCGCGCTGCAGCATGTTATAGGCAGGCTGTTCGGTGACGGGGCCAATGAGGCCGAGCTTGTCGGCGTAGCGCCAGGCTTGGGCGATTTCGTCGGCGTTCCAGTCGGATGTGCCCCAGTAAAAGGCCTTGCCGGTGTCGATGATGTGGTTGAAGGCGCGGACGGTTTCTTCCATGGGGGTCTGGCGGTCGGGTCGGTGGGCAAAGATGATGTCGACATACTCGAGGTCCATGCGCTTCAGAGAGGCATTGACACCTTCAACAATGTGCTTGCGTGAGAGGCCCTTGTTGTTGACAATGTTGTCGCCAAATGCTTGGCCCCAGTACACCTACAGAATCATGAGCACACCCCCATCGGTTGCACAGGAGACGGTAGCGGCGCATATGCTCTCACCTTAGTCGAGATGACGAGGTCGTTCCTCTTCCAGCCAAACTTCTTGATGGCCTCTCCCATGACGATTTCCGACTCGCCGCCAGAGTACACCTCGGCGCAATCGAAGAAGTTGACGCCGCAGTCGTATGCCGCCTTCATGCAGGCAAAGGTGCCCTCTGCTCGCCATTATTAGCACCCGTGGAAATTTCCAAAACAAGGCTGGGCCCTCTAGGCATGGTGAATTACCTCTGTCAACGTGGCCACCATAGGTGAGCCATCCGCCGAGCGAGATGGAAGAGACCTGAAGACCAGAACGGCCCAGGAATCGATACGTCATGGGGGGCGTGTCCTCCGGCCTAGACATGGTGGCAGAAAAGCAACACAATTGGGAAATATGTGGTGAAACGAAGCACTCGAGGTGATGGGAATCAAGACTCCAGAAGGACAGCCAGGTGAGCTGGTTATATACCCCGCGGCGAGAGGATCATGTTGTGTGTCAAAACCCATGCCGAGCTAATGATCATCACCACCCCACCATCGTAAGTGAGCCGCCTAGCACCTGCCACAAAGACTTGACCCCTCGCGGCGTGATGGAGGTCTGCTGGAGCTGTTTTCCACGAGTCCCGACCCTGAATAACATTGAAAGCACCTGGTACTCTGCAATTTGCCGCATCTTCCACCAAAGGGAGCAATGGGCTCTATAGCCTGAGACTTCGGGGCGGAGGCACGTAGTTTTCTGACCGTTACAATGGCCCAAGGCGTGGTTGAGCCGGGTACATTTCGCTCGGATACACGTCCCGGTCAAGAGTCATTTGTTAATGTGGAGGATTTGTAATCAAATCGGGGGCCTGAAGGAGAATCCATGTGTGCCGTGCTTGCGCGGTTTTTAGGGTTATATCCGCCATGTTATTTCCAGCTACGTACAAGAAAAAGATGCTGCTGCTGCCCGTGATATTTTATACAAGACATGCGAATTCTGCCCCTGACGTATCCATGCACCGGTCTTCCTATCCTGTGCTTAACCCGCAAGCATCTTTAAAGAGTGAGGTGCATTGCAGGGTAGGCTGGAATTTTAGACCCCGACCTGTTTTTGGCCCTCCGCAGCAAAAAGGTGCATCTGCTCCCTGCAAACAAAACGTGCCCCTCGAGGTAAATACATGCCGTCTGGCCCGTCCGGAGATGGTAACAAAACCGGCAGGGCATTCGTGACGTCGTGCATGATACGCAACGGAGTGCCGAGTAAGCAGTTACCGGTCGTCTGCATCCATGCGCCAGCCGGCTCAAGCAAAACACCAAATCTGGCCGAGGGGCGTTAATTCCCATGCCACAAAAGAACGGCACAATGCCTCGTCGGAGACGCGCCACCAACTGACACAACTCCAAGGTCACCGGCATCACTATCCCGCTCCGAGACTGGGCAACACAGAACCGGTCTGGCCCATGAGGCCACATGTGGTCATGGCGTACGGAGTTGATGCACACATATTACTACCCCGTCTTATACTCTCGTATGGTTTCTGTGATGCAAGATCCAAGATTCCCGCGCTGGGGTTCCTAGACATCCAGAGCCATGGCCTGTTTTGAAAGGAAAAGTGGAAAATAGCGGGATACCCGATCAAGGACAACGGTATTGCAATATGACGGTAACATAGGAAAAAATCAAAACATTTCATGCCTAATGTTGTACCTGGAACCCTGCCGGGGTCTCTTTGGTTTGGAGTCGGCGAGCGCTTATTGGGGAGCCCTGGTGTTTCCAGACTGTGGAGGCTTTAGAGTGCACCCGCAGAACCTGGAGCAATGCGCATTGACGGACCGCGAACCAGGCAAGATACATTGCTGTACGTACAGCTCCAAATAAACCCTCTCTTCATGCAGTATAGACCCAAGGGCGGTGTACGAGATACGATATTCTGTAGTTGCTGATTGATGCTGACGAAAGGTGCGGACTCGCTATGTTATATCTTCTAGGTAGATGGCGCCTCCACAAATAATAAACATATTTACCACTTCCAAGACGAGGGCCATGGCTCTTTTGTACCATACACACTGGCCTTGGCACAGGCACCAACTACGGAGTACAATGTGGCCCGGACGATACAATGTGACAAGGAGGATGAACCCAGAGCCAGCGAATGCGGACAAGCGCAATGAGCTCCTAATGCGCCGTGATAGCACTGGTCCGGAGCAGATCCAGATCAAAATGAGAGGTAGTACTACCACTCCATCAAGTATGTACATACGTAGCTGAAGCTTGACCAAACGCCCATCATCAATGCATAAACCAGCCAATGGAGCAGGCACGCAAGCTGCCAACCACGTAATGTATTGTAATCGTTCCTGATGGCCATTCTTACTTTTTATCCTCTGAGCTTGTGTTTTGACGCTTCGTTGGACCCCGTCAACTTGGAATTGACCGATCTGTTGTCTCGGACTAGCCGTGGGGTGATGGATTGCTTGGGTTGTTTCCTGATTGAATCGCGAAAACCACCTCTCCCTTCCAATTCTGCAAATTAAGCCCTCGCCTAGCTTTCCTTTTGCATTGGCTGGGTTGGCCTGTGCTTGTTTGCTTGTTCTCCCGTGAGCCACAGAAGATCCTCACTGGCGACTTCAGTGGATGCGCACCCATGCCCATACGTATTGCACGGACGTACATATAACAACATGTACTTTGGACAATGAAGATGGTGGATCATTCGAGTTGGAAAAGACAAGTCTACCATGGTAAGCTATTCGACCTTCCGGGAGGTGTTCGATCATGGGTTCAGGAACGGAGTACCGAGTACTCGTCGAGGGAAAAGAAGTGAGTGAGACCGTTGTAAGTGTATGTGGCGGCCCTGTCGTTATGGACCAACAATATCTTGATGCTTTATGCGTCTCATGTCGTTATCAACTGTGCAAAACTACGTCCAAGCGGACGTTTCGCGATGTTATGGCGATCGCGTTTGTCTGGGTTGGACATTGTTATTACAGGTTCCTTGTCATATGTCGCCGGCCAGCACCCTGGCCCTCGTTGTTTTCGGCCCACGATGCGAAGATAGGTTTAGTGGCTGGGGGCTCCAATCTAGAGTCATTTTATCAGCACACATGTGAATAACAGCACCGAGAATAACGTGCATCGTGCTGCGTGGCACAGGGTCATTTTGGATAAGCTCTGCCAAACCCAACGTCGACCTTGGTTGTGGAAAAAGACGGTACTCCGTAGTATCAGTGCCCTTGCTTGGACTCAGCTGCGGCTATGCCACAAGTCCTGCACTTGGTCGCATGTCTCGTGCCCGAGACAGTGTGCCTGCTTGCTTTTCTTTCTTATGTGGTTGATCTGGTGTCTTGCCAACACAACAGGCAGATATGTGTGGGGACGCCGAACAACACAAACAAGAGCACGCCAGCATGCTGAGATGGCATCTGGAGGCTCAAATAGGCGCCGAATTGAAATGCTCCGGGTCGTGGAGGAGACCGTTGCTTGGTATGGAGCGTAATTCAAGGCAAGATAGGACATTGTGCCCAAATGTTTTGGTGGACTGGAGGCGGGAGCCGAGAAGTGGGCCGGCCGACTCTCCGTTGTTGGGGGCTTGACCGTGAGGCTTGACCAAGTGGGCTTCAGTTGGCCAGGAGGCGCCGAGACGAAACAGGGACTTGACAGACCTTGAATGTTGGGGCGAGACTGTGTGCTGTCCTCGGTAGCCCGTCACTATTATTGTGATTGCACGCATTGAGTTCTTGATGTCTGATACTTTCCCTGCGCCGTAGGTGCCTCATGGACAACACCGAACGGCTGCCTTGCATAATCGAGGCGTGCATGTGTCCGGGGCCGTCCTCGGCGGCCTCCACAGCCCGACGGCCTAGCAGTCCAACAGTCCAACAGTCCAACCGTCCAACCGTCGACAGCTCAACAGACCGCGCGGCTCCAAAAGCCGACATGGACGTGTCCGTCTGTCACCACGGGCGCGGCGTCTGGCCGGCGGTCGACTCAGGCACTGCTATTTCTCCGTCGTGGCCCATGATCGACTCGGCCGTAGCGACTGTTCATCAACGTCTGGTTGGTCGTTGTTGTTGTCTGGGCCTGCATTAAACCGACGCCGGCGCCCCAGCCGCCGTCCAGCCCCCAAGCCATGGGACATCTGGAGGCTTTGCAGCCACTGACCCCTGTCCTGTCCTGGCTTGGCGTCTGCTGAGCAGACATGGAACTGGAGCATCTGCATTATTATTGCGCCGGCGGTGGCAGTCGGCCAGTCGCCAGGCTGCCCGGCTGCCACTGTGTCAGGCTAGTCCCTCCTGCGTGTCTGGAAGCATTCCCAGTCCAGAGTCATCAGCAGACTTCTCGTGCTGCCCTCGCCTCCTGTCCGTCCCTTGTGGCCGTCTTTCGCTGCCCGCTCCTCCACATCCACGACCCGGCATCACGGCCAGACAGACTTTAACTTGCATTCCACATTCCAACCATCCCCCAGTGCTATTTGCATGGCGCCTCACAAATGATTACTACTGTCCGCCGTCGCTGAGCCCTCGTTTCCGCCCTTACATTAGCCACGCGGGCAAGCAGCACAAAACAGCCAACGACAGCAGCCAGCGAATAACCAACTGCGTACGGAGTAGAACCTTGCCCTCCCCCCCCTTTTCCCGTACCCGTCCGTCTCTGGTCTCCTAGGAGCCTCGTTGCTCCACCGAGCTTCTGCTTGATCGTTTCGTCCCGCCCGACAACCACACACCGGCGACGCAACTTTTTCCTCATCGAACCTCGTCTTCTCAGCATCGACATCGACATCGACATTGACACCGACACCGACACCGACACCGACACCCCCTTGTCAGCGACGCCAAGGCCTGCCACAGGGCAAGCCATCACCTACCGAGAGCATGGCTTCGTCGTCGTCAAACGTTGTCGGTGTGCACTACCGCGTGGGGAAGAAGATCGGAGAAGGCTCCTTTGGCGTCATCTTCGAGGGAACCAATCTGCTGAACAACCAACAAGTGGCCATCAAATTCGTGAGTTCTTTGTCGACAAGGCGCCCTGCTGTGCCTCTGGCTGTCCGTCTCGTTGCCGACCGTTGACAATTGCTTTTAGGAACCCCGTAAAAGCGACGCTCCTCAACTCCGAGATGAGTATCGGACATACAAGATCCTCGTCGGATGCCGTAAGCTCCACCTCGGTTGACCTTGTTGTCAACCATGTTTGTATTTTGTAACACGCCGCCGTGCTAACCTGTTTGCTAGCGGGCATCCCCAATGTCTACTATTTCGGCCAAGAAGGCCTTCACAATATCCTGGTTATCGACCTGCTAGGCCCGTCTCTGGAAGACCTTTTTGACCATTGCGGTCGTCGATTCACCATCAAAACTGTTGTCATGGTTGCCAAACAGATGCTGTCTCGAGTCCAGACGATCCATGAGAAAAACTTGATATATCGTGATATCAAGCCTGACAACTTCCTGATTGGCCGCCCCGGCACCAAGTCCTCCAATGTCATACACGTCGTCGACTTTGGCATGGCCAAACAATACCGTGACCCCAAAACCAAGCAGCACATCCCATACAGAGAACGAAAATCTTTATCAGGAACCGCCAGATACATGAGTATCAATACTCATTTGGGACGCGAACAATCCAGACGAGATGACCTCGAGGCTCTTGGCCATGTTTTCATGTACTTCCTCCGGGGGGGCCTTCCCTGGCAAGGCCTGAAGGCTGCTACAAATAAACAAAAGTATGAGAAAATTGGCGAAAAGAAGCAGACTACCGCAATCAAGGATCTTTGCGAAGGCTTCCCGGAAGAATTTTCCAAGTATCTTACATACGTCCGAAACCTTGGCTTCGAAGATACCCCAGACTACGATTACCTCCGCGAGCTCTTCACTCAAGCGCTGAAGAACACGGGCGAGGTCGAGGATGGCGAGTACGATTGGATGAAAATCACCAAGGATTCGGGAAAGGGATGGGACTCGGTCAAGAACCATGGAGCTGGCTACCTCCACAACCCAAACGTCCGTCCCGGCCCTTCTCAAATGGAACTGCACAGTGGCCACCGTCCTGGAAATACCAACTCTCATCAGCAAGCACAGAATCTTACCGTCGGCCGTTTAAACGCCGCACAACCCCCTCCTCCGTCACCGATCAAACCGATGGGCAACAGGAAAGATCGGCCAAGCGGCCTCGGTACCACGGGGGCGCAGAGAGTCAGCGGCGTGGGGGGTCTCCGAGGCGATTTGGGTACACCGGCTGGCTCGACTCAAGCTCAATTCCAGAACAGCACCCAGAACCTACCGCAGAGGGGACAGCAACAGAGCCCCATGGTGGCAGCCGGCCAACCTAACCTTCGTCCTGCCGAACCTCAGCCTAGCGGTTTCCAGAAGTTCATGAAGACCATCTGCTGTGGTTAGGTGCCTCCCATCAGCTATGGGGAGTGTTTTGGTATATAGTGCAGTGCCAGCAATCCAGAGGCCGTTCAACTCGGCCGTCAACCTGCCACGACAAATGATTTTCGCCGACGACCAATGTCAGCTCCCGAATCGAAAGATTACTTCTGCTTGAGTTCCGATGTCTTGGACAAGATGGCACTTGACTATAAACTGCCAAGAGCTAACCCTACCGCTGTCCGATGGCGGCGGGAATCGAGTGCTGAAACGCGAAAACATTGCTACAAGAGCTGTCAAAGACGGCAACGAGCTCCAAAACTACACTCATAGCGACCAACGCCGGCGTGGGGAATATCTGATGGGCATTCCGCACCTATGGGGGCGCAAACTCTTTTTACGACTAGCATTCAGAAAAAGCGACAAAAAAAACTCCAGGCAGTCTTACTAAAGACGGCCCTACGGAAACAAGGGTTGGAAATTTCCTAGTTCCATTTATTTTTCACGTCAGGCATTCCACAACGAAACCATACTTAAAAGCCACTTTCAATGTGCAGCGAAGCACGGCGCAAGGCGGTAACGACAAACAGGTAGCATTGGGTTTACTCGCGATATTATCATTTTTAGTTTTTTTTTTCTTATCCCTCCACCGTACAACCTCTCACTCACTCTCACAAGTCACTCTCACTCAGAGTTATTCTACTGCTACGCCATTGTGTAATAAAAAAAATCTGCAAGGGCTTCATGTTTTGTATTCCTGTCTAGTCGTACTAGAGCGACAATTGGTGGGCGGGGGAGGTTGTGCACAAGATGCGATTCTAGAAGTCATGAAAGTGCCGATAACACAGTAAGAAGGGAGACAAGGGCAATTGTAGCGTTGATGGGAATATAAGGAGGTTCAGGAGTTCTCTTATGGTATACATCGTAATGGAATAAATATTTTAGTAACATCATACAACGTCTCGTATAGATCTTCTCAAAGGGAGGGGGGGGGAAGGGTCATGACATTGGTTGTCCATCTTCTGGAATTTTTCGTTCCTTGGAATACATAACTAGACCTCTCCGCATTATCACTGCAATTTAACACCATTATGTATGCCCATGTCTCCCTTCTGTGTAGTAAATTTGCATCCCAAAAGTCACCACCCAAACGGATCGTTCTACCTGAAAAACCTGAATATCTTCGGAACCTTTTGACGGGAGAAAAGAAAAAGCAAGCTAAACACATCACGTCTGCCTCCAAAAAAAGTAAGTCCCCAACTCTAAATGGGGTACGCTACGTGAGCTTCTGCTTGATGAAGAAGGATCGGAGATGTGACAGTTGCCAGGCGCAGGTGATTCCGATGACAATGAGCTGGATGATGATCCAGCGGATGACGCGGGCGTTGGTAGATTCGGACTGGTCTCTGAAGTCGGCTTCTCGCTCCTGTTTGGTTTACAGCATCAATGACGTGTTCAATGATCAGACTGGGGGAGGGAGCGGGGGATGATTTGCAGCGGTTGTATGGACAGTTTTGGGAGCACAAGAGAAGAAGAAAAGAAAAGAAGAAACGTACTCTCTGGAAGACCTGCTCGCGGCGAATATCGTGCAATCTGGCGTTTAGGTCCTTGACGCGGGACGCAATGTCCTGCAACTTGTCCTTGTCGCTGCTCTCAATCTGGCCCGTCTCGCCGATAACAAGGTCGAGCTTCATCTTGATGCCGCCGTTGGGGCTGTGCGCCGAGAGCCATGCCGACCGGCCAGAGGTGGACGAGGGCACGAAGCAGATCTTATGGTCGCCGGCCTCGTGGGCTGTGAAGGTGAAGCGGCCCGAGGCGGAGCCGCGCTGGGAGACGATGCGGTGGTTGTTGTCGAAGACTTCCTGTGCAGGTGTCAGCATCTCGTTGACGAAGATTGTGCACGTGCTGCTGCCCTCTGCCAAGGGGCGCAGATGTTGTTGGCGATTGAGATTGGGGGAGGAAAACTGGAAGGGGTATTCGTCATGGTGGTGGTCAAGGTGACACGTACATCCACGGAAATGTAGATTGTAATCCCATTATGCTGCTGCCAAGAATTCACCCGGTCGTCGTACTCCTCAGCAGAGTAGTGTCCCACGACAAGCGTATCCTTGGGCAACTCCTCGAAAAAGCATTTTGGCGCGGCGCCGTCGACGAAGAAGTAGAGAGCCTGTGCGGCGGATGCCAGCGACAGCAGGGGCAGGAAAGTCTTCATGGTGTGTTTCTATGATCGTAATTAAACCGTGTACTGTAAAACAAAAGGGCACGCTTTGATGAAGTGGAAAATGAAATAGGCGGTCGTCAACGTCTTAATCCGTTGTGCAGCGCAAACAGTTGCAAAATTGATTGCAGTTATGGTGTTTCACTGCACCATCAGTCTTGATTCCTCGCGAAGCTGCCACGTTCGAAAAATGGACCTCCTTTCGCGGGATATGTCAGGGGGTTCGCTAGGGGAAGGAGGGCAGTGGGGTCACGTGCAATTGGGACTCTGATGGGCAAACCTTGGCCAAACCTTCGCGTCATCCTCTAAGCGCCAGCCGATATCAAAACCTCATTCGAGAGTCTACCACCAAGCCCTTTTCGACAGTGGCGCGCAAGTCAGTCGATGCTCATTCCCATTAAGTAACAGTTGTGGATGGTTTCGAAGTAGACAAGGTTGAGGCTATCTTTTGATGGCTTAATGCAGATGGCATAAGGCTGTCTTCGACCGCTACTCCCCCCCCATTTCTATCGCCATCTGAAATCTCGCCCGATTGCGCCCGAACATCTGCGAAACGAGCGAAAATGACGTCCTCTGATGTGCGCGACGTTCTCAACCTGGGAGACAGTTCCTCCGGCCCGCGACCGTCTAAGAAACAGAAAATCGGGCAGCCGAAACCGAATCTCAAGGGTCTAGCCAGAGAAGTCCTCAATCTCGGAGGCGATAATCCCGTATCGATAATACCGGCCAAGAACCAATTCAAGAAGAGGCGTCTTGGGGGTCGGAAACCGGCTGCGCGATGGGAACTTCGCGAGTTCCGCAATTCAGGCCGCGATGATAGGTCATTGATTTTGCGGCATTGGCGACGGGTAGATACCAAGGATCTCGCCGCATCTAGTGGCGAGCGCCAGCAGCAGCTCGAGGCGCAACTGCAAGATGGCGGACAGGAGAAAAATGGAGAGAAGAAGGAAAGCGAGGCGGAACGAGACATAGAAGACTCGGCATTCGCCAAGTTCAACGTGAGGATCCAGGTCCCCCAATACTCGCAGGACCAATACCAAGTCTCGCTGCAAAACGAGGACTGGACAAAGGAAGAGACAGACTATTTGATGGAGATGGCAAGCGACTTTGATCTCCGTTGGCCACTTATCTGGGATCGATACGAGTATCAACCTCCCGCGACTAATGGGGCGACCGACGTGGACGGGGACGAGAGTAAGGCAATTGTCCCCGCTACGAGGCCTCGGTCAATGGAGGACCTAAAGGCTAGATACTACGAGGTTGCTGCCAAGATGATGGCCGCCCAGAAACCGGTGCAGTACATGACACAGCAGGAATATGCGCTGCATGAGACCATGGCGCATTTCAACCCCAAGCAAGAGAAGCTGAGGAAGGAATTTGCAATGAATTCCATGTCGCGATCAAAGGAGGAAGCCCGAGAAGAAGAGTCGTTGTTGCTGGAAATCAAGCGGATAATGGCGAGGAGTGAGCGATTCAACGAAGAGAGGAGAGAGCTGTATAACCGGTTGGATTATCCTAGGGCCGAAACGGACATCAACCCATTCAAGTCTTCGGCTGGACTGCAGACCTTGCTGCAGAATCTTATGAGTACTGACAAGTCAAAGAAGAGAAAATCCATCATGGGCACCGACAGCCCGGCTGGCCCAGGACCTGGCGCAGCTGGAGCGGCTCAAAATGCAGCAGCTCCAGAATCAGGTAAACGGGAGAGTGCTGCTGTGTCGAATGCTGCGACTCGTGAATCTACGGCAGCAACGTCAACACCCACCGCTGCCAGTAAGAAGGCTCAACAACAAGAGAAGCAGCAGCAACAAGCCCCAGAGCGCAGGAAGCTCAACAGCCAGGAAGAAGCTGTATATGGCGTTACACATCACGACCGACTTGGCTCGGGACCTACGTTCCGGACCGAAAAGATCAACAAGCTCTTCTCTCATAAGTCAAACCAGCAGCAACTCCGTATTAACAACACTCTCAACGAGCTGGATGTTCCGGCTAAATTAGCAATGCCAACTGCTGCGACCACTCTGCAATATGAACAGCTCCTGGCTGCTGTCAACAGTTTATTGGACGCGCGAAAGGTATCAGACAAACTCGATGGCGAGATCAAGATCGAGCAGGCTAAGAAGGCAGAGCGAGAGAAGAACCAAGGCCCTGCTGCCCCTGAGAAAGAGACTGCTCCGGCGGACAGCGAGAGAAAGACTGACGGCGAGGTTAAGAAGCCTGATAACGCTACTACCTCCGGTGATCAGCCAGAGTCTGCGGACAAGGCTGCCGGCCCGGCTGGTGAGGACAAGGACAAGGCCGACGATGTCAAAGACCAACAAGTACCACCTGCAGGGACGGGTGACGGCGCAGAAGAGTCGACCTCCAAATCAGAACAAGACCAAGAGGCCGCCGCCGCCACGGAGAAAGTGACAGCAGTCGAGCCGGAAAGGGAAAAGAGCGCTCGGCCGGGAAGTAGCAGTGGTGCCCACAAACGAAGTGCCAGTGTATTAAGCAGCGTGAGCGACAAGAGCGCCAAACGACAGAAGAAGTGATCATGTACCTCACAAGTACATTTTACTTAAGCCGTAGGCGCCGTTGTTGACGACGCCAAAAGTCTCCCCTGGCCCCTTTTCCTTGAAAAATCTCCTCGGGCGTTTAAAATAGTAAACGGGAAGGGTCACTCGGAAGGGGGAAAAGGGGTGGGGGGTTACGGGCGTACGGGCGGGTATCTGTAACTACTGTAATGATGAATATGCAAGAACTTCGTCCCTAGATCCCTTCATCTCAAAAGTGCCAGAAGGCTCATCATGGCCCCATTAGCAGCTGGGGACAAGAGCCACGCGTAAGTCAATGTGGACGAGTTAGGCTTGGAAACAAAGGTTGAAGATGATGAGATGGCGTTTCATCGTTCGGGAAGCCGGGGTGTTGGCCTTTAGGGCAGACGCGTCCCTTGTCCAGGGGCAAAGGAGGATGGCGGCGCATAAGAAACCCGAGATTCGGACCAACAGAGCCAAGATTTATGCTGAAACGTGCGGTTGAGCCTCCAATGATGATCTTCCGGAACAATTTCGACCAGTGATTGTGAATCGTGTATGGATTGCTGGAGCATGAAGCGCCGAACGTTTATCTTGAAAGGGCCAGGTATTATACTCGGCGCGAGATGGTCCGAACGAACGACGCCTCTTGAGCATGGACGCATGACGCCTCGGCGCTTCCGAGCAGATCCTTGGCCCAAGCCTGTATCATGATGGGGGTATATCGAGGAGGCGTGCCCGAGTATGAAGGTCAAGTTGGGGGTCATCTGGGCTGTTGTCATGCATACATACACAAATCGGGGCATGGATCGTCTTTAGGAACGACGTTCCGAAAAGGGTTCCCGCAGCTCAACCGCGGCTCTGACGAACATGGCGCTTAATATAGCAACCGGTAGCTGAAAATATCGCGTCCAAGATGCGGCAACGCCCTGCGACTTGGGGACGCGGGGCCTGTTGGCTACAAAAGATGCGAGGCAGCGTGGTGGCCAATGGATAGACATGTCGTGTGTATGTGTGTATGTATGTGTGTATGTGTGTATGTGTGTATGTATGTGTGTATGTGTGTATGTATGTGTGTATGTGTGTATGTATGTGTGTATGTATGTGTGTATGTATGTATGTATGTATGTCGGCAGCATGGCATCGTTGTTGAACAGAAGCAAGATGGGGGATCTCGACTTGTAGGGTGGCCAATCACGTCGGACGACAGCGCGCATTTGGAAGCCGGGCGGCTGGTACTATGAGGGCCTGGCCAACCATCTGCGGCGAGATAAAAATAACTTGATGCAGGTGTGGCCGGCGAGATAAGATCAAAGGCGGCCATTCCCCAGAGATCTTTCAGATGAATGGATATTCACACGTTGTGGTGTCAGAGATGGCAACGTGGAGACGGGCTGGATTGGCTCTCTTTTGGTCCGCACGGTTGCGGAGAAGATTGAAGAGTTCCAGAATCGGCGCCAACGTTGCTCAATCAGGAGCGCGCGAGCCTGAAGCAGCGTTTAACTGAATCATTCATTCTGCCGCATGATTGGCAGTGCATCTTGTCATTGTTGTCACGCAATGTGCCAGCCTCAAACCCCCACCCAGGGGTCACGCCTCTTTGGAATGCGAGATGCCAGCCGCCTGATGCCGAAATACAATTTATGCTTGAATCGGATCAATTCATGTCATGGCTCGAGCCGATTAAGGTGCGGCTCCCCAGGCACGGTTTCGGATAGGCCCCAGTCCGGAACACGGAGCTCGTCGACGTTTCCTATTGGCCCGCGGAAGTCGCCGGCACTGAGAGGGCTCTCGGAAAGTCGACGGTGAACGGAGTACTCCGTATGTATGTACAATGTATGTACTTACTTCGAGGTGGCGGCTCGCTTCCAAAGGTCCCCTTCCCCTTGCTGCTCCTGTTCGCGCTTCTGTCTTGGCCTGTCAACACTTGGGCCAACCTGATGGAGTTTCCTGCCTTCAACTGCCTTTCCACATATCCACCTTGGGGATGCCTTCAAAGTTGGCCGAAGAGCCCGTGGAACGCGATACCCAAGCTGTCGAATGTGCGAGAAGACGCCGTCCAGCACTTGCAGCCATAGCCTACATGGACCCAACCGCGATGCCGCCAGAAGGTGGATACGACTGAAATTGGGGCCGCTGCTGTCACACTGCTGGCATGCCCGGCCGCGTGTTGGACGGATCTTCTCAAGGAGCCTTCCCCCCCTCTCCTACTCCATTTTGGGCCCTTTGAAAGCTTCTCTTGTCAACTTGAATGCTGTTTTCATAAGACGCTCCAAGGTCGGGGTTTGCGCCTCCACAGTCCCCCGTGACGGACCCGTGGTTGCCGGTGACCAGGTTTAAGCTACAGCCCTAAGCGTATGCGAACAACGAATTAGATTTCGGAAAAATAAGAAAGAAACTGCTACTAGAATGTGCCTTGGAATCTTAACCAGCCACAACCTTCTCCGTCGTTGCTCGTGACAAAGACTCGGACCAACAGTGGTCCTGTTATTAGTAGCCTTGCTGAGTGGAGAAATATACACGTAGATCCGCACAATCCTATCATCTCGGGGGAAGACTCCGTACATTCGGCTTCGCTGGAACCATTGCCTTGGTCTCTGAGCACTGCACTCTTCAGGCTCCCACGTTTCGAACACACCCGGCGCGCTCGGAGGATTAACACCAGGGAAGCCCAACATGGCCAGGATGAGCTGACGGGTCATCTGGCCAGCGTTCCAGACGGAGTACCGAGTAATGCCTGACATGTCTCCATAAGAAACTACCAATCACCATCGAGACAACGCTTAGTTCGCTCAAGGTACGGAGTAGGTGTCGTGGCGGTAAGAAGCCACATTACCTGGCGCTAGGGCTTGACTGATGCTCGCGACAAGCGCAACCGCATCGCTGGCTTTGCCGAGTCTGTGGATGACCCGGCCCTCCGTTGGCAACCCAACGGCCCGGGCAATGATTTGCTGATGCTTTGCGCGGCATGAATTTTCCCTGCAGTTGAAGGAGCCACTTGACTTGTACGTACATACGTGATTTCGCGCACTCTGTTGAATGCGCAATAATGGTGGGCAATGTTGAGCAGCGTTGGGAATTGGATGCGGCGCGGTGACAAGACTATCCTGACCTTGACCGGCGGCCGGGTGACTGAATTTATTTCTAAATTTAAATGTGGCGATTTTCCGACATGTGTTTTGGATATAGCATCCCTTTCGTACTCCGTAGATTGACCTGGCCGCTTCATGACGAGACCGCCAAATTACCGCAATTGAAGACGCATCATGATGTCCTCCGGGTTGAGTTGTATTGAATTGCTGGGCTTCCGCGCAGCAGAAGAGCCAGTCCCGGAGATGGCTTCCGCGGAGGCTGGTTGTTGTGAGCCAGATGTACTTGCTATTCATAGCTTAGCACAGCCGCCGTTGACCGGCGATACGAGACGGTGTTAGACGCGGCGTTAATTAATGGCGCTCCATCTCTCACACCCCCATACTCTCAACACCCCATTGGCGGATTCTGCACAAGCATCCGTTTGGAAGTGGCCAATGTGCGTTTAAGAGTTGCCTAACCGATTTGACTAGAAGTGGTCGATGGAAACTTGGTACACTGGGCAGCAACAGCCAGTTTCAGAGAATCAAGCCATACGAGGACGATTGTAGCCGCCGTGTCCCCGGTTGATTGTAAATACCCGAGGCACATCGAACATGGATCTATGGTGCATCCAGCTCTCAAAATAGTAACTTGATGGAGACGGGAAGCTAAGCCCTGTTATATATCGTTTCGTCTGGATATTCCAGTTCAACAGGGCCTATGAATTCGGAATAATGGATGCTGGGAAATGCGCCATCGTGCCCCAGGCACTGGGAGCACCCTTCTGCTGTGCCGTCCTTGACCAGGTAACATTGACAGCTGATTCAGGCATAGTGGTAACCGGCCGATATCGATGTGCTTCATTCGGCCGACTAGATTACCTTTTTAAACGAACCAAGGTGCTCGGGCGGCTCAATGTACCTGTGAATGAAACCCTTAGTTGCCATCGACAAGGTTGCGTGAGACTTGACATGCCGCTAGGGATAGAATAGTTCTATGAGATGTTGGCATGTGTATGCAGAGTGCTGGGCGAACTTGCCTGAGTAGGTAATTGCAGTAGTATATGTATGCATCGATACTACTGAAAGTGCTTGGTCTTGCGCAAAATAAAGCCAGGTCTGCAATTTGCTTGTCGCACCGTGCTGCTGCTGATCCAGGTTTCGACTTTCTGGAGACTCCGATGTCTGCTCTGCCTGCCAACCTGCCAATTGCGTAGGGTTGCGTCGACTGGGCCAACTTGCAGCTATTGACACCGAAGCCTATGCAAGTAGGAGGGCGGAATGAAGTCACAGATGCTACCGTGTGCTCCATGAAAAGAGATGAAATATGAGTCGTGAATTTCGGTGTTGGCTGAGGGTTGGCAAGAACCACGCGCGCTGCGTACTTGCTTATTGCATGGCCAAAAGATACGTATTTTTATGTACCTCTGCAGTATGTACATGACTGAGTACTGTAGTATTGGCACGAATGGCATGCACTGCCAAGCACAGATTGCATGGCGAAATGCCGTATTGTGCCGAAGTATGCAATATTTGAATGCTTCAATACTGTGCATGTTTGGTCCCTCAAGCACCGCATCTTGAGGCGCCATTGCCTCAACTGAAATGCCCAAGATGCGAATCCGCCGACTATCCCATTGATGAGCATTCGCCGAGCTCCAGAGGTGAGGCTAGAAGCAGACGGCGTCTAGTTCCCAGTCGTTTCGCAGCGCACAGATGCCAAAAGGACAGCATACAAAATGCCTACCTACGGAGTAGCTAGTATGCAATCAAGAACATACGTCTCCGTTCAACGTCCGCGCCACGACAACGTGACACGCTCCGGTGAATGGCTGCTGTCATGAACGGCGCGAGAGGCCGAAAGCGCAGACAGCTCGAGAATTGAGTGGGGACGGCGGGTGCCTGTTGTACACGTGTACGGCGCGGCAAGTTCTGCATACTTTACAC